CACACACACACACACAGTCAGGATTCTCATTCAAACAATTGGTTTTATCAAAGTGTAGTTAGTGTATTTTGAATGCTTGCTTTAGGCAGACGGGGGAATAGTGAATTTCTGAAGTGGAACATCTAACAATGATTATGTTCTTTTCCCATAATCCTCTCTATAGGACAAAGGCCTTGTGTGTCAGTTCCCTTGTGGTCACAGGGTGGAGTGTCTTGTCTTCCCAATCCTGCCTGGAGCTGCATTACCTTTTAGCACGGACAAAGTACAAGGCGTTGGTTTTAGGGTAGTACTTCACATTCTGTTTTTTGTCCATGAGGCCCCCAAAAATGATGAGCTCCCCCCTTCCCTGTACCACTGTGTGAAGGCTGGTCTCAGGTGGCCCTGTGACCGCAGCGGGAGTCCCGTTCCCATAAACTCTCCAGGACACCACCCCGGCAGATTTGGCCCGGGACACATCCAACACGTACATCTGCATGGGCTTGCAGTTGAGAGACTGGTACAGAGGTTTCCCTACGTTCAGGCTCTGCGGTGGGTGATGGCCAAGACGCCGTGCAATAGGTGGTATAGCGTGTCCGTCAGCTCCAGCAGCCTGCGGAGGGCTGGAGGAGGAGGATGGAGGGGTTCCAGGAGGACCCGCTCCTCCACCACTTCCTCCTCCCGGAGAAGGCCCCTGTGTCTGAAGGGAAGACGATGACGATGGTAAAGATGAGGAAGATTTGTTTTTCACTGCCTCCAGACCTCGTCTTAAGGCAGCGGGGGACACTGCTCCTGGGGGAGTGCGCGGGGAGCCTGCAGGAGGTGTGTGCAGGCCGTTAGTGCTGGGCACCTCGGGGTGGTGAGCGGCAGAAGGGGGAGACTCCCAGTCATAGTCTGTGGAGGCAGGAAGGTGAGGGCGAGAGGGGGGAGATGCAGCCTGGGCCGGGCTGGTCCGGGGTGAAGGGGAGGATCCATTTAATAACGGGGGAAGTGGAGGAAGAGGAGGGCTGTCTGGGCCTTGTGAAGGAGATGGTTGTTGGGATGAAGACGGGCTCCCATCTCTGGCACTTCCTCTCGCTGAAGGCCGAGGTCTCAGCGTGCCCCATCGACCGTTTACACACGGAGCCTCTTCAACAGCTCCTAGGACAACACCAGCGGCCCCGCTCCGAACGGGAGACTGAGAGCGCAGGGAAGGCGGTTCGGGGCCCAGAGGGGCAGGTGTGGCACTTATGGGGGAGGGCCGAGAATTCAGACTTGGGCTGAGCGGTGCACGGCCAGATGGAGCCTGTGAGAAAACCACCACACACTGACCCACCTGGAGGTAAATGAACCAGAAAAAAGCCACATTAGTAATCAATATAACGACTACACACACACACAAATTAGGAGTGACAGCTAAGACGGACACGTACTCTACACGCTGGGTGACACCACAGCTCCGGGGCCCCGTGGTCCTCGTTTTCCACTTGCAGCTGCTGCCACCTCCATGGTGGAGAATCCATGTGGAGGAGCCAGGCATCTTTAAGGAGCTTTAAACACAGCAGACAACGGGATAAGTCAAGACAGTAAACACTTAGTCACATAAAGAAGAAATGAAGTAAAAACAACTTACTGCATTGGGGCCTCCACAACCTCCCAAGATGAGCAACGTCTGATCGTCAATCACAATCTAACAGGAAAACATTCAAAAGGGTTTTTGTTTCATTTCATATGAAACTTAAGTGGAGGTGAAGGAGAGGGGGAAGCTGTTTTACAGGGACACAGCTCCAGCAACATTTTATTTAAATGAAAACTTTATTGTCAGACCGAGGTCGGACCTTGTAAAGAAGCTGAAATGAGTTTGTCAGAGAAAAGAATAGATTACTTTATCTAACTTGAATGTTGAAGCCTGCTCACCTGTGATTGGCCTCCTCGTGGGTGGGGTGATGGGCCAGATATTGGTGGTTTGGACCAGGACCACTGCTCCAGATCCAGAACCCAGACTTCATTACTCCTGATCAGAACCATCAAAGGGGACGACATGTTGAGATGTGACAGCCAAAGATTTCATTCACTAATACAATAACAAAAGTCTGAGACTTAAAGCCGATTGTGTATGGTTTTACATTAAAACATCATTACATCCATTTTTATTGTGGAGTGTAATAAAACACCACCTTTGTTGGGGACTTACTTGCTTTTGAGAATTATTGATCCTATCTTTCAAACTAGACAGCTCAAGGTCTTCTACTAGCCCCTCTACACAGCTCCTGTGCTTTATACAAGTCTATTTTCTCCTGTTATGTATGTAATTACAGTGAATGTGTAACTGAGATACATATCACCTGACACCTGAGAAGTCAGTGACATTTTATCAATCTACTAACACTGAGGTGAAACGACACTAGATGTCCTGTAATCTTTGCTGTAATTTAAACAAGCTCCAGATTAGAAACCGCAGCTGAGTTTTGGATGATGTGTAATTACATAGAAGTAATACATTCGTACATTTGACGTGCTCCTAGTGATCCCCCAAACACCACCATTGTGTTTCCAATTACAGAGGAAGAGTGGCCAGCCATGGGTGGAGGTCCATGTGTTGTTACTATACAGTTCCACCTGAGACAACAGAAGATAAAAATTAATCACAAAACGGAAGAAAAAGATGATGAAGAAAAGTTTAAATGTATAAAGTTTCATCCTTTCACTCCTTTTACTTTAACAAAGTACTGAAGTCTTCCTCACCAGTTCTTTGAAGGAGAGTAGGTGTGGATTTCATCAAAAAACCTTTCAGGTTGGTGCAGTGGATAAGGGCTGGGGCGAGTCCATCCCCCAAACAGCACCAACAGATCTTTGTGCATCACTAGAGTTGCTCCAGCTTTAGGAGATGGATAAGAGCCTGGAAAAGAAAAGACCAATCACCAAACAGGTTCCTACTTAATGCCTTAAGTGAAAATGGTTGAACAGAAATGGACAACATGGCACTCAATAAGACTGCACTTCTGTTTTCACCTCCCATACACGTGATGAAAAGACAACAACACCTGAGCATTAATTTTATAATGTAGTCGACCAAATCTCTTACAGTAAATGCTGTTTAGTGTTTACACAGGTGACATACATGGAGCCCAGTCTCTTAATCCTTAGAATGCAATTTCATAAAAAGGCACAATAAGCTTTAAAGTTTACAGCCATAAAATGCAAGTGCATTAGTAAAATTATTCACTACAATCTCATCTCATCTGTGCTTCTTTATTCTTTTATCACCACCTCCTCAAATACTGTGTACTCCGCTGCTGCTGAGCTTCAGACTACTATATTCACTTGTGTGGTTCGCCCTCCCACAATTTCCCTTACATAAGCCCCATGTGATATGTAATATGTAGCTTTTACTGCTCGTAACCTCCTCGTACCTGAGGCTAAAGGGCGGATCCACTCCTTGCTGTTGAGGTCAAGTCTCCATAGATCGTTGAAGGCAGCATTGCAGCTACTCTGAGTGCAACCCCCGAACACATACATGGACTGGTTTGAGTCATAATAACATGCACCTGCAGTCAAAAAAGGAAAAATGAACCACAGCTTATTAGCAACCAGTGAGCTTTGAGCGTTTTCTTTAATACTTTTGTATTCACAGTTGCACCAAGAGATTGTTTCAGAATTTAAAATAGACATTTTTTTTAAATGGCCTAGTTTTCTCAATCAGATGACCTTAAAAATCCAGTTAGGCTCGTTTAACACTCTTAGGCAAATTATTACATACGTCATGAAACTCTACATGAACATGAAGATAAACTAAGAGGTATGAGGTCTTTTATGTCAGTGAATGTAGCTCCAGCATTTATCAAAGAACATTTCTGATGAAGCTGGGAATAAAAGGTTTGCATCAGCTAGATGCTGCAAACACGAATAATTGCTGCCTCCATAACACAAAACCTATTTAAAGTGATTGTGGAGTCTATCAGATAACAAAACGGATTAAGGCTCTGATGTTGCTCTTTTCCTGAATCACTAATAATGCACAGAGGCCATTTTATCTGCTGCACACTGAACTCATAATCTGATCCACCGCTGAAAATACACTGACGCAAGACGTATAACGGGGAGTTGTTGATGAAGTAGTTTTGATGCCTGGGAGATAATGGTTTAGTTTAACACTGTACGCATGAGGTGCAACTCGTTTTGACATGAAGCGTTGTGAAGCATACTGACTGTGCGAGAAGCGCTGCGTGATGGGGGTTCCTGGATATGGGTACGTGCGACTTTCCCACTGGATGTTTCCCTCCTGGACAGCTCTCAAGAAACCGTGGTAGCACTGATAAGCAACACCTGGTTCAGATCAAATATTATTAAGCGACGTGAACACACAAACAACAACAACAACATTTTAACGAGAATTACTTTTTAAAACTGTCCCTCTCAGGTGTTTGCAGCCATGTTACCAGGCCACCTTCTGATTCAGCTTTACAGAAGATCGCGTAAACATCGTGAGGCGTACCTTTAATGAGGCGATACCACTGCTTACATACAAGCGCGGCGGTCTTGTGCTCCTGGTACGGTGACAGAAAGGACAGAATGTATTCGAGAACTTCCTCTGGCAACTCCACCATCGTCCTCCCCCCTTTGGCACCGCTGTCCGCGTCCCCCTCTTGTCGGCAGGACCCCATCTTTCCCTCCGCTTCCTCTGCTATCCCAGCAGGCTCTGCGCCGTCGTCCTCCGTATCCATGGCAACAAAGCATCCATCCTCATTGTCAGGGGAGTGGGACATTGTTGTCTGTGGAGAGGAGGGGGAGACATGTTAGTGACGGATGCAGTTATTTAATGATGTACAGGAGCTATTAACAGTGATTTAAAATCCCAACATTTGTTCCTCACGTACTCCATTTAACATCTGCCCCAGTGTGTTCTTTAATGCACTTGTGCTGCTTGAATTTAATAAAGATGAAGAACCCGAACCTAAAGCAACCCGGAGACTTTTCCACCGTAACACTTCGGTGCTGAACAATGTTAAAGATCAGGTCCATTGTGTGAAGCGGGCGGTGAGCAGCTGTCCCTCTTCAGTCGTTAGCTCCTGTTAGCTCCTGTTAGCTCCTCACATAATAAATGAAGTGTTGGACTGCTAATGCTAATCACCACCGAGTCCCGTCTGACAGTAAACATGTTACATATTATACATATTATTATTGTTGTTTTTACTTCACGGACTGACCGTTACCGACTGTGACCGTTAGTGTGACTGAACTAACGGCTGACTGGTGAGAATGTGAGCTAACGTCGGCTAACGCTAGCTCACAGAGCACTAGCATCCGAGCTATCGTGAGCTAACGGGCACACAGACCGACAACACGTTTTTATTTTAAGATACCTCTGCTTGACAAAGTGTGGAAACCCCCGACTTCCTAATTATCTGCCACGACGTCCTCTCAGGAAGACGTTTACACCTTAAGATAGCAGGCTAGTGACATATTCAGTCTGCTGCTGATAATCTGAGCTAACGTTAGCTTTGAGCACCAGGCGGTGTGCAGTGATTAACTAGCGGCAGCTGCTCTAATGTCACACTTTCCCCACGAAATGTTGTCAAGAGCTGTTGCAGAATTATTACCACCGTTGTTTGAGACGTGTTTGTTTTTTCTGTGGGCTGTGAGAATAAATGTTTCCTCTCCTTCCCCCCGGTATCAGCTCCGGAGGTTCCTCTGCAGCCTCCAAACAGTCGCCATGTTCCGCTCTGTGAACGTCCTCCTCCTCCTCCTCCTCCTCCTCCTCCTCCTGTGGTACCAGGGTGGGTCCTCTGTACCAAACACTGCGCCCCCTGCTGCCCCTGCTGCTGCTGCTGGGGCCAAATGTTCTGCTGCTGCTGGAGGGCAAATGTTCTGCCTGCTGCTGAGGGCAAATGTTCTGCTGCTGCTGGGGGCAAATGTTCTGCTGCTGCTGGGGGCAAATGTTTCTGCTGCTGCTGGGGGCCAAAATGTTCTGCTGCTGCTGAGGGCAAATGTTCTGCTGCTGAGGGCAACTGTGCTGCTGCTGCTGCTGCTGGGGGAAAGTTGGAATCACCGATACATTGATGGCTTCCCCAACATTATTCCTTTGCTATTTTACTATTTTACCTGCTTCACTTTTCTTTTTTGCACTAACCATAAAGTATTGTATTTTTTTTATATTATTGTATATTTTATATTTTATTGTCTGTTGTGAAATTGAATGTTTAAATTTTAGTATTAGGAAATGTCTGATCTTATCTGTTGTGCCTGTGCACTTTATTTGTTTCACCGTGGGGTGAATGAGAAACGTCCTCTGATTCCTTGTATGTCCGGTGCATGTGAAGAACTGACCATTAAAGCTGACTTTGACTTTTGAGTTTCGCCCAAACAAAAAAGCACATTAAGTATGTGTGATTGTTGAAACATATAGATGTTAATTTGTTGGTTCATTGTACAGTTTTTTGTCCATAAAAATATGTCCACTTAGTCCAGGGGGTCGTCAGTGTACTAAATTTAATAATAAACTGGGGTGTTATTTAAAGTCAAAGTCAAGCTTTAATGGTCACTTACTTCACATGCCACAGACATACAAGGTTAATCGAGAGGACGTCTTCCACTCTCCCACAATGAAAACAGACAGCGACAGGCACAACAGACAAGACATATTCTCTAATACTAAAAAAGTAAACATTCAATTACACAACAGACAAAACATTTACTAATGCTTAAAAAGATTAAAAAATAATTTGACCATAAAGCTGGACTATTGACTTTTTGACTTTAAATAAACTAGTTCACTATAATTTAGTACACTGACGACCCCTGACTAAGTTGAATATTTTTGGGAAAAAAACTGTACAATGGAACCAACAAATTTCAACATTAAATTTTTAACAATCACACATACTTAATGTGCTTTTTGGTTTGGCAAATTCAAAAGTGAAAAGTCAGCGTTTAATGGTCAGTTCTTCACATGCACGGACAATACAAGGAATCGAAGGACGTTTCTCCATTCACCCACGGTGAAACCAGATAAAAGTGCACAGGCACAACAGACAAGATCAGACATTTCCTAATACTAAAATTTAAACATTCAATTTCACAACAGACAATAAAATATAAAATATACAATAATATAAAATATACAATACTTATGGTAGTGCAAAAAGGCAGATGGTAATGGCAGCAGAAAAATTATGTAAAAATCAGTGTTTTCTTGTCCCTGACGTGTAGCCATTGTTCTATTATACAATTTACTTTACGTTTACAGTTCTTCACAGATTTGAACCAAATGCTGAGAGATCGGGCTACTGTGTGTATATACGTATTTAAAGTTTTCTTACACACTTTAAAATCAAGAAGGCCTCACGACCCCCCGTAAATTCTTTGGCAACCCCTATTGAGGGTCCTGACACCACAGGTTGGGAACCACTGCCCTAGATAACCACTTTTAAATACAGGAAATTAGCATAACACTTTAATATAATCAATGATGTGTTATATTAAAAAGGTGAGCTATTTACCTCATTTTGTTTGTAGTAAATGATGTAGTGACTTTAGGTTTAGGCTTTTATTAGATTTCATAAACACCTGTGTATCAAAAAAGAAAGAAAGAATGGCCAGGTTGTTGTGTATTAAATTATGCTTCTTCCACCCGTTACTTAATACTTGATTAAAAAAAGAACCAGTTGTCATTATTGATTTGTTGTGTAGGCCTATCACATTTCATATATTTCTGCACCCTAGAATGAAATATCTGTATTTAGTTGCCCTGTTATAGGACTACTGTAATTTCATACTCCAGTGTTGGCCAGCTAACATTTAGTTTCCCCCAGATTTATTATGCAAGCAATGATGCTGAAATCACACAAAATGCTTGTTGAACCCTACACGTATAACCAGTTTCTTTCTTTTTTATAGTATTTTTTATTTTTATTATTTTTTATATTTATTTTTAATTATAAACAGGTGTTACTAATAACATTAGAAATGGCTCTGTTCTATTCAAGTCACATGCAGTGTGACAGTGAGTCAGCATGTACACCAGCACCCTGAAACTGTAGGAGTTATATGTATACTAATTAACTTGTCATTCTTTTTATTATTTACACCTGTGTTTTTACTACTGTGCCATGTAAAAATGGGAATACGTCCAATTTAAACGTGCAAAATATAAGAGTTTTGTTAACTGATCATTGTGGTGCTGAATACTGTTGAAGAAGAGTTGATTCAGCTCTGAGTGTCACTGTGTGTCCTTTCCTCTTTTACTAAGGAAAGGAGGAACAAATAATAACAATTATAATACAAACTAGCAGGTTGTATGAGAAGTGTAAGAAGATTAGAAATGTGAGCTGATCTTTGGTGATGAATATTTAAATGATGACGGGCTGTAATGCTGCGTTTAAGTCACTACCGTTCATCTCCTATTTATTGGGAAATCAGAGACACCGTTAATAAGATTTCGCATCAAAATTTTATAATTTATATGGATTAATTTATCATCACATTTCATCTTTATTTCTATCATGACTGATTGATCTTTTATTTCACTAATATTTTTCCCGTTGGGCCTTTTTTGTAATTTCTGTCTGCTAGGCAACGTGAATGACGCGATGTTCTTGTCGGTGCGTCGCACAGGACGTGAACGCAACAGTTACGTTCAACAGCACCATGCTCCACACAAACAGCGCCCCGTCCAACTCTCAGTGTCCTGCCCACCTGAAACAACCACAGTGTGCGGGGAGTACCGAGGGGGGCTCCCTCAAACTTAACTCGGAGGCAAAAACACGACGTGTAATGCAGTTAAATGAGCTTTAAAGTCCACATATAAATCATTTTATCCCGTCGGTTTAGTTGTGTTGGAACTTGGAAGCTTCATAAGCTACCGTTGATGTAACGTCATTTCCCTTCCTGTTTTTAACGGTTAAAACCTGAGAGCCGTTGCTCAACTGTCAAACCCAGCTAACGTTAACACCAATGTCGGCCGCTCACTGTCGTCTGTTTTCTGTCTGAGTCCGTCTGTCTGTGTGTGTACGGCACCAGTGGCCGGTTCATTAACCGAGGTGGACGTGACGCCAAATTTAAAGTAGCAGGCAGCCAGGGGGGATTGCCCTCAGTTGAGCGTTGAGCTAGCAGGCTAACACGCGGCCAGGGGAAAGGTTTGTAAAAAAATAAAAATAATAATACATCTGTTCATTCAGCCTCTTTCATCGGAGAGACAAAACCCGGCGAGACTGAACTCATCCGCGGGTCTTCGTGAGCGCTGCCCTCCGTCCCATGCCCTCTGCGTGGATGGGAGATAGTTAGCCAGCGGAGCCGAAGAGGAAACCAGCCAGCAGTTGTGTTCAACATGGAGGATGAAGAGGTTGCAGAGAGCTGGGAAGAGGCGGCGGACAGCGGGGTGAGGAAACACTAACGCGGGACAAATACCGTGCTAAACAAGGTTATAACCCGGTTTCTGTCGGACGGGCAGACAGTGACACAGCTCGGGTCTGCGATACGGGGGCTGTGTGTGCTGCTTTAATGGAGAAACGTGATATTTATGTCGGGTTTTCCCTCTTGAAAGAAAGCAGCCTGGCGGAGTCTTGCAGGCCTCGCTGTCCCACAACGACGTGGGTCTGAGTCTGGGTCTCATGTCGCTTTATTCGCTCAGCACATTGGTGTTATGATGTGTGGAAAACATGTACAAAGAAAACTTCATGTTTACAAAGTGGACTTTGTACAGTAATGTCCTCGTTGTTTGGACCGGCCCATTGCGGAAATGAGCGGCTGCACCCAGGTGGATCATTACAATACCATAACAGTGCAGTAATGTTCAGGTTTTATCATTTAATCACATGGAGAACACGGTTTTCTGCAGCGTGTTGGTAGATTGAGTCTGATTTGATTTTGGCAACCTGTGCTAACTATTATTATTATCTTACATTTGTGATCCGTCCCTTGTAATTACACTTTATATTCTCTACCAGCTCCTGCAGATTGGATTCAAAAACATCGTATTATTAGGGATATTAAAGGGTAATTGTGAAACATGCTATATAATAGTCATAGCTGTGTTTTCATTAGTGTATAATCACCTTAAAATAAGAATCGTTGTGTTTTCGTTACCTTTAAAAAGAGACATTTTTATCGTTTATTATACGGAGGGAGCGGGTCCTGTTCCGTGCAGGCCGCCATCTTGAACCGCCATGTTTCTACAGTAGCCCAGAATGGACAAACCAAACATAGTTTTGCGTAACCATATTTTTTCCTATATGCTTGTAAGGGGAGGGTGAGGCAAGTTCACCACGCTGGTGCTTTGATATAATGTAAATGAGTTGAGCTGCATTTTTATGTTTTCTTGATTATGACTGAAATCCAACAGTTGGGAATGTGTTGCTATAAACTGAGAGATAAGACTATGTTTACAGCTTACCCTGCCAACTTTTAATTGGTTTAAAACTGAATATGAGTTTCCAAATGCTGTCTGAAAATGTACATAACAAATGTAATGAATCACATTTTAATCCATCCTTTAAACAGAGGAAACTAATTCTCCATACAGTGTAATGTAAAAGCCAGAATCTGTAGTATGTGCAGTTCTCCCTGCACACCTATAATTTGTTTTT